CAAACATTTAAGGAAGAGTTAACACCTATTCTCTTGAAGCTGTTCCAAAAAATAGAAATGGAAGGAAAACTTCTAAACTCTTTCTATGAGGCCAGCAATTACCTTGATTCCAAAACCAGACAGAAACCCCACTAAAAAGGAGAACTATAGACCAATTTCCCTGATGAACATGGATGCAAAAATCCTCAACAAGATATTAGCCAACCGGATCCAACAATACATTAAAAAAATTATTCACCATGACCAAGTGGGATTTATACCTGTGATGCAGGGCTGGCTCAATATCTGCAAAACAATCAGTGTGATTCATCACACCAATAAAAGAAAGGACAAGAACCATATGATCCTCTCAATAGATACAGAGAAAGCATTTGACAAAATAGAGCAGCCTTTCTTGATAAAAACCATCAAGAAAGTAGGGATAGAAGGATCATACCTCAAGATGACAAAAAGCCATATATGAGTGACCCAATGCTAGTTTCATCCTCATTGGGGAAAAACTGAGAGCTTTCCCCCTAAGGTCAGGAACAAGACAGGGATGTCCACTCTCGCCACTGTTATTCAACATAGTATGGGAAGTCTTAGCCTCTGCAATCTGACAACACAAACTAATAAAAGGCATCCAAATCGGCCAGGAGGAGGTCAAACTTTCACTCTTCACAGATGACATGATACTCTATACGGAATACCCAAAAGATTCCACCAAAAAACTGCTAGAACTGATTCATGAATTCAGCAAAGTTGCAGGATATAAAATCAATGCACAAAAATTGGTTGCATTCCTATACACCAACACTGAAGCAACACAAAGAGAAATCAAGGAATTGATCGCATTTACAGTTGCACAAAAAACCATAAGATACCTAGGAATAAATCTAACCAGACAGGTGAAAAATCTATACATTGAAAACTATAGAAAGCTTATGAAAGAAATTGAAGAAGACACACAGAAATGGAAAAAGATTCCATGCTCCTGGATAGGAAGAACAAATACTGTTAAAATGTCAATACTACCCAAAGCAATCTACATATTCAATGCAATCCCTATCAAAGTAACACCAGCATTCTTCACAGAGCTAGAATAATCCTAAAATTTGTGTGGAACCAGAAAAAACCCCAAATAGCCAAAGCAGTCTTGAAAAAGAAAACCAAAGCAGGAGGCATCACAATCCCAGACTTCAAGCTATACTACAAAGCTGTAATCATCAAGACAGTATGGTACTGGCACAAGAACAGACACTCAGATCAATGGAATAGAATAGAGAACCCAGAAATGGACCCACAAACGTATGGCCAACTAATCTTTGACAAAGCAGGAAACAATATCCAATGGAATAAAGACAGTCTCTTCAGCAAGTGATGCTGGGAAAACTGGACAGCGACATGCAGAAGAATGAACCTGGACCCCTATCTTACACCATACACAAAAATAAACTCAAAGTGGATGAAAGACCTCAATGT